TACATGCTGTGCTGCAACAAATATTGCTTTGTAAGGTTCCATTAACACCAGAACTATTTTTATTGAATATGATACCTGATAATATAGATAAGGCAAAGAAGTATATAGTTACATACATAGTCACTGCAGCTAGAATTCTTTATGCCAAAAATTGGAAAAGTCCGACGGTACTGAAACAAGAAGATCTTATAGAGAAGATACAGGAAACAGTGGAAATGGACATTTTATCAGAAGTGATGAAGGACTGTCCTGGACAAAAGGCAACTGAAAGATGGGACTTATTCTACAAATGATTTGAGTCATTAGACATCACTTGAAGAACATGCATTAAAATGAGAACTTAAATCTGGAAGGCAGAAAATAGTAAAAAGAGCAATTTGGAATTTTGACATGGCAATATGTATGGAATGGATATTAGTATGTCATTGTTTCTCCTCTTCCCTTTGACCTCAATCCTTTTTTCCTTCCTGTTACCCTTTGTTTTAAAAAAGTGTTTTCTTGTAAAGATAGAAGATATTTTAGTACAGAACCCTGGTGAGAGGATTCTTATTAATGAGAAGTCTTATGTGGGAGTTGTTGATATCTGCTCGAACATAACCCTGTGTCATCCTGATGTGGTTCCTAAAGAACAAATACTTCCAAACCAAATTGTTACAATTAAGGGAATAAGTTCTACTCCAGTGATTTTACCTGTGGCTAATGTAAAGATAGAGATTGGGTTGTACTTCGGGGTGTGCCAATTTCTGATCAAATTCCAGCACCTTGTTTAATCAGGCTAGATCTAACTAAGCATGTGCAGAATGCTTTTGGGGTAATGTGCTCTGGGAGAGCAGTTAACAATCCCCGAGGGAATAATGGAACATCTCTGAATCAAACCAGGGATGCCCCAGTTTAGAGGAAAAACCTCAGAGAAATGGCTGAGGAGGTCATATTGAAAAACCCTAATGATACTTCCTGTATTGATGAACAGAAGGAAGATAGTACTTTAAATGATGGTATTAGAAAATCTAAAGAGAATCCTATTTCACTGACGCCTGAACACCCAGAGAGGTCTATAATTGATAAAGACCTGACATATAGAGAAGGTGTAAAGGCACCTCGTAGAGGGGTAGGACCCCACCAACAACTAATTGTCCCTGGGAAACATAGGGAGGAAATACCGGCTGCTTTCCTAATCAGTTGGGACTTGACAGAGCATGTTAAGAGTGCTTTTGCACGAACACACTCACAAGGGGGCCAGAAATCACCCACTGCAGTAGAAATGGATACTGTGGCAGAGGGAAACCTGGAGGGAGAAAGTTCCTTGGGTAGCCAGCTTAATAATTGTTCAGAAGCTGATCTCGTGCTTTTAAAGAAACCCAATAAAAATAGTTTTGCCCAGAAGCAGAAGGAAGACACTAGCTTGGTGGGTTGCTTTGAAACTGCCAGTTTACCTACTTAACTGTCTCCTGAATGTCCTGAGAGATTTTGCCTGGATAAAGATCTTTTATATAGGGAAATGTCCTTAGAAGTGGCAGAGCCAAGCTTGGGAAGTACTCCTGGAAAGAAGAAATGCTTGTTTGATACCCAGGAAAGAGCATCCTGCCCTGAGGACCAAGTAGTGGATCTGAGATCTATAGAGGGGAGCAAATTATTTTTTGGCAGGGTCGGAACCTATAGATGTGTTGCACCAGCACTGGAGGGCTAGAGAGTCTAGTAGCTTTGCAGCTGAAATAGATCTTAAAACCTTGCAAGGCAAACCCCTACCTAACTTATCAATGAACAAAGAAATAGAATCAGATAACAAGCTCAGTGCATCTAAGACCAACCAGTCGTTTGAGATTGCACTTAAAAGAAACGCTCCTGAGAATTTTAAAATGACCGTGATAGTGGTTCCCCATATAGGGAAAACTTTGCAATAAAAGTACCTGTGGGTGAATTTGTGAGTGAGGAGGAAGACGTAAGCCCTGACATCTTAAAGAAGGATGCATCCAGAGATGTTCAGGAGGAGGAGAGGGAACTGAGAAAGTAAAGCCCTGTGGCAGAAAGAGAGCAGGCTTCACTGGGAAATGGCAAGCCGAGGACCTCCAGTGGAAATCCGAGGGCCGATGACTGCTAGTTGACTGAAGAGAACACTGAAGAAGGAGCCAGAGATCATCAGAGAGATCCCTGAATGGCAGCAGTCACGTGACCAGCTGAAGGAGGCAGCAACGACCGGATCAGTCCACAGCGCACCTGACTACAGCCAGGAGTTCACCATCTTTATGGAGGTATCAAGCATTGGACTTGGAGAGGTGCTGTGCCAAGCAGATGACAACAGGAACATGAAAGACTTGGAATTTTTAATCCACAGCGTAAAAGGGACTCAGATCGTGGATGCTGATACCTTGCCCCGAAAGCCAAATGACTGATCGGGGGATAAACAAAATTGGTAATGTATAATAAATGTTCTTTTCGTGTATAGTGATGAAAAATTGAATATTGATGAACTGAGATGTGGAGAATGATTCAAGGACTTTTAAAAGAAACCTGAATGGACTTTGGAGTAACCGTTTAATTATCTATGTAAATTTTTTGTGATTATGTTATATTTCTGTAGGATTGTAATATTAAATGTTATAAGTATGAATCAAAAGGTAATGTCTGTAATTGAACTGTATTGGAATTTTTAGAGTGATAAGATTTTGTGATTATTATAATAAATATTGTTATTGCGTGCAGACTGTTGCCAGAGGGTAAGTAGAGTTTTTATGCAATGATGCATGTTTGTTTTGGATGGAAAACATGTTTTCCCTCCTAAGCAAACATATTTAAGGGGGGAGGTGTGTGGTGAACACCCTATGATATGCATTGTAAGTTATGAATGATTCATGGTATATGTTAATGTGGTTAAGAGGCAGGGCTGAGAGAGATGTTAAAAGGCGGAACCTGAGAGGAGTTAAGTCACTTAAGTTGGGTTGAATCAGTCTGTGTTAGGAATCAGATAGAGAAGGAGAGGTCTGAAGAGTGATTACAGTGGTGCCCCGCATGATGACGATAATTTGTTCCCCTGAAATTGCTGTACAGTGAAATTGTCGTCATGCGAAAACAGTTTCCCCATTGGAATGCATTGAAAACTGCGTTCCAATGGGGAAAATACCTCGTCGTCCAGCGAAGATCCTCCATAGGGCAGCCATTTTGCGAGCGCCTATCACCTACTTTTAATCGCTGTCTTCTGAAGCATGGGTCCAGAAAACAGCGGAAAGCCATTTTGCGAAGCCAACGATCAGCTGTAAAGATCGTCGTGGTGTGAATAAATGGTCTGCGAAGCACGGACCAAATCGTCGTGAAGCAGAATTTCCCCCATTGAAATGCCTGTTTTGCGAATCGCTATAGCAATCGCAAAAAGTCATCATCCTGCAATTTCGTCGTTTAGCGGGGTTGTTGTCATGAGGGGCACCACTGTAGTCTGAGTGTAAATTGTGACAATAATCATAGAAGGTTAATGTTGAAGTTTGATGAAACTTGAAGACTGCGCTTATGAATTTTTCCAGAAACCAACAGTAATCAATACACCTGTTCTATTAAAAAGTCAGTACTGAATGGACCTTCGTCTTTGCTAAGGAATTTAAGTTGATTAAGAGATCAACTGGTGGCAGCGTGTCACAAGGCTTTTGGTTTGCCTTTGTGTGCTCTGTGTTTGGGGAGACAAATCAGGCCATGAGGTTGAACGTCACAATTGGGTTTCAATGCATTCTTATGGGAAATACTGATTTGACGTACAAATGTTTTGACTTACGTACATCTTCTGGGACAGATTAAGTTCGTAAGTCAAGGCACCACTGCAATGGTATGCAGTGGGAGATCATTTAATAAGAACTGCATGTTGAAAAACTATGCTGGAGAACCACCTAATTCATTTTTAAACAAATTGATATTTCTATGTGTGTGCAAGCGATAGATTACTGACCCTGTGTAATCCTTTGTCCACTATAATGGAGGTCCCTTCTGCCCTAGGTACACATCTTACGTGAATATACGTTAACTAGGTTATGGTGAAAATAATGACAAAAGTAAACTAGAAGAACATAGAAGAGCTCTGTGATACCAAACGAAAAGCCTCCCTCATCAGGTATTGTGTTTCCTCATTGACCTCTCCTATCATGTACCATACTGCATAAAATTATCTGCTTCTTTAAAATCTTCCGAGTTGATTGAATTTTTTTTTCATTACAGTTAAATAACAAAAGTGGAGTGAACAGGTAACTTCAGGTTTTGCCTCACAGAAGCTTTGCTGCTATAAAAAGAAACTATTAAGGTTTCAAAAGGATTTTAAGAGGTAAAACATTTCATTGCCCTGTAACAAAAAGAATGTGTGTGAATGTGTGACTCATTCTGCTTTTATTTAGCCAATGAACATTTAATGATCTTCAAGATTTCTGTACAGTCCCAATTATATATATATAAAAAAGCAGGCTTAAACAGCAGAGAACTTACTACTGCCTCTGACCAGGATGTAAAAGAAAGAGTGAAAGCTGGTTCCTCAGTAGAAGCATTGCATAGTACAGTGGTGCCTTGCTTAACGGGTATAGCAATGAAGATTTTGCCATTGCTTTTGCCATCGCATTGCGATGTTCCCTATAGGAAAAAATCACTTTGCGATGATGGCTTCCCCCCCATCACAAATGCCCCATTTTTGCATAGTTTGCGATGAGGTGGGGGAACGATCGTCCCAGAAAAGAGCTGGGAGCCAGCTTCCCTGCTCCAGCCCCTCCCCCTCCCCACCTTACAGCTGATCCACGGTGCTCTTTGAAGCTTCCCCAGCAGCTAAATAGTCAGTGAAAATGCACTGGGGAAGCCTCTGAAAGCCACGCTTTACCAGGGTGGGTGGGTGGCAGGGGGAGGGGCTAGAGCAGGGAAGCTGGCAAAATGGCCCCCCACTGTGTTTTGGCCCAGATTCCTCGCTTACGGGGCAGCGAAAATGGTGGCCGGATGGAGGATTTCCCGCATAGCGGTGAGTTTTTCCCCAGTAGGAACGCATTAAATGGAGTTTAATGCATTCCTATGGGGTTTTCCTCCCCACATAGCGATATTTCTGGATAGCGATGGTAATCCTGGAACGGATTAACGTCGCTATGCGGGGCACCACTGTACATATTTGAACAACATTTTTACTGTAAATGCTTAAATTTTCTTTAAATTCTGAAGTTATAAAACATGGAAATATTAAAATAATAATCAAAAACAGATTTAAAATTGTAAGAACATAACATTGAATCATAGATTCATGGAGGAGAGCATTCCATAACCTTGCAAGAGCCAATAAGAAGGCCCTCTCTCAGGTTGTTGTCAAATATCACCTGTAAACATGAGGGTTGGACCTAGAAAAGGGTCTTGCTCTGGCTTAGCTTCCTGTTAAAAAGGAAAGCTGTTACCTGAAAGTCCTTGGATTACATATTTCAGTTAAACTTTTTAATATGTATAATTTCAAACAGAGATGTGTATGAACCTTGGTTCAGAGGTTCATGCTGATTCATATGCACATTCTTTCCCCCAACTTCCCCAGCCAGTGCCTCATTCACCAGCTGGAGTGTGCTCCTCTCCTTCTCTGCTTCGGCAGTTCAACCAGTCCTCAGGAGGAGCGCAGGTTTGCTGCCCTGCCCCCTTGTCCAGGGAGGCAGGGTAGGGAAGCCCATGCTTCTGCCAAAGACTGGTTGAACAGGTGAAGAGGAGGAAAGGAGCATACTCCAACTGATGAATGGGTAATTGGTCAAGGAGACTGGGGAAGGGAGCATGCTGCATCTGTGGTGCCGTGCTTATGCCCCGGTACAACCCTCCAAACCAAGGTTCGTGGCCATATCTAATTTCAAACATCATGGAAGCTCAAGAATAAAAATCAATTGTAGACAAGAGACTCATTCTATTTTTTTTTTCATTTTTGTGTGTTTATGGGGTAGACCAATATCAATATTTTACCAGATAATATGTATATATATTAATGGAAAGAAAGCAACAAGGTGACTTTTCTTTGTTTCACTTTTTCTTGGATGTACTGGTTGCCTTAGTAACGGCAACTTGAAACTTGGTTTAAGTATAATTGCTCCATATGTTATACAAATCACATATCATTGTGATGCTTTAAAATAGTTTAATTGGGAGAGGATTCAAAAGAAAATTAACAATCAAATACTGAAATATGCACAATATGTTTCAAAAGATTCAAACTCCAGAAAGGATATTTTTTTGTAAATTTTGTGACACTCTTTATAATCTTTAATATTGCAGTACTCATAATATGATACTGTTTCCAGTTCTTTAATCAAAATTGAACTGTGGATCAGAGTTATCATAACCTGAATTCAGGTGTTAGTACTAACTAAAAAAGACCTATTGACTAAAAGGAATGTAGTTTAACATTTAATAAAAAAATTAAAAATAATTGAAATTGTATTTTTGAAGGCTTTCACGACCGGGATCTGATGACTGTTGTGGGTTTTTCGGGTTCTTTGGCCGTGTTCTGAAGCTTGTTCCTCCTAATGTTTTGCCAGTCTCTGTGGCCGGGGTGTTTCCAGGGGCCGGGGGCGAGACACCACACAGAACCCAGAGCACAGAGTTCTGACTCCAGTCTTCTGAAGATGCCGGCCACAGAGACTGGTGAAACAACCTTCAGAACTCACCCAAAGAGCCTGAAAAACCCACAACAACCATCAATAATTGAAATTATTTGGCCTCACAATTCAGCAATCAGTTGAGTTGATCTGATTTACTGCCAACTGGAGTCAAGCCAATATAATTGTTTCTGTATGACATTTGACTGTCAATGGGATTTCTTAAAATGTTAAAATGTTTACAAGATATTGTTGAAATTATGCCTTGTGCTTAATGAAGAATTTTGTAGTGCTGAATTCTCATGTTTTTCTGAAACGTTAGTTTTATAATTTAATGTCTTTAAATCTATATTTTAGAGTAGTTTGAAGTACTGAGTAATTTAAAATGTTGTGTATTTGTGTTGCTGACTATTTAGTTTTATTTAATGAAGCATGAAATAGAATGTAGAAGCATTTACATGTAACACACCTGATGAAACTAAGTATTCATGATTTTCTTTTCTTTTTCACTGGGTGTCATTTACTGCATTCACAATGTGTCTTGTATTTGAAGCTGTATTAAATGACTTTTTAAAAACTGTAGTCTTAAACATATTTACTTCAATGTCCAAATCTAAGTTTACTATTCGCGGATGGCTACACCATAATGTACAGGTTAAAGGAAAAGGCAAGGCAAAGCTGGAAAACTCAGTGGCTTAGGCATCTGGCAGCAGAGCCAGAGGTTGGGAGTTCAATTCTCCAATGGGCCTCTGTGATATGGGCTGTACTTGGCGATCCATAGAGGTCCCTTCCAGTTATGCAGTTCCCAGATTCCAAGAAAGTTCCTCAAAGTAAAGAGAATAATTTCATGAGAAAATGTTCATCACTCAAGTGTGGCATTGCTATAATTTTGAGTAATTTAACAAATTTGCCAAGTACAATTTTTTTTGTAACTATGCTTCTCATTCAAATTTAGATTTCTGTGACATTAAACATTGCTATTCTATTTGGATTGAATAGTCCAACAAAAGAACTAAAGTGGTGCCTCGACTTACAAAATAAATCCGTCCCAGAAGATGTTCGTAAGTCGAACCAGCATTTCCCATTGAAATGCACTGAAACCCAATTAATCCGTTCCAGCGGTTTTTTGTTTGTATGTAGAGGTGTCGGTTGTAAGTCAAAGTATTAGTTCCAATAGGAACTAATGCAAAACTGGTTAATCTGTCCACTACCACTAGGGGGAGATTTTTTAAATCTAAGAAGACTTAGTTTAAAAAAAGAGCAGGAAAGGAGGGAGGGAGGGAACAATGGGGAAAAGAGGAAAGAAAGGTAATCACTGGGGTACACAGACCAAGGTTTGTGCTTTTAAGCACAAAAAGAGAGAAGGGACACAGAGACAAGACAATGGGAGGAGAGTTTGGAGCCTTAAAATACATTTTAAACCCACACATGCTAAACCCACACATTTTATACCAACACATTTTAAACCAAACACCTTTTAAACAAAACCAAGCACCTTTTAAACCAAACCAAGCACCTTTTAAACAAAATATATTTTAATCCAAACCCAGCACATGGGGAGCATAGAGAGAGAGAGAGAGAGAGAGAAGTCAATTGGGGGGTGGGAGAGACTTGAGTCTAAACTTCATTTTAGAGCACACCAGCCATCACAGACCCTTGCAAAACATTTTCTGATTTTAAAACCAAAAGATTAAATTCATTTTAAAGCACACCAGCCAGCACAGACCCTTGCAGAAAGGGTCTGCAAGACCCATCAGAGCACAGAAACATAACCCCCCACCTAGCCCAAACCCAATCTGCAAAACCCCTGTACAGTAAATACAGTGTACTCACCCAGAACAAGCAGTCTCTCTGTTTTAAAAAAGAAAGTCAAAAATCCAAAATTCAAAAATTTAAAAAGTCAAAAATCCAAAAATCAAATTTTTTTTTAAAAATCCCAAAAATACAGTATGTACAGTACAGTACCAGGCAGTCTGAAGTCTCTCTCTGTATCCACACTCTCTAACCGCTGGAGCGAGTGAGCTAGCAGACAAGCAGCCTCTTCCCTGGCCAAGTGTTAACTGAAAGTTCAAATTTCCTTCTTTCCCTGCCTTCCCCACTTTTTTCTGTTTGTAAGTCGAAGCTCCGTTCGCAAGTCGAAGCAAAATTTTGCAATCGGAGCTGTTCGTAAGTCAAAATGTTCGTAGGTCCATTAGTAAGTCGAGGCACCACTGTATTTTGGCTTATATCTTTGAGATCAACTACTTTTGCAGAAACATATACCAAAGATTATAGTAACTTTATGAATACTTTTTCATACAGCTGTTCTCACTTTTATAAGTTAAGCTGCTTTGCACTGAGAATGGCAGCAGGAAGAAGTGAAAGTAAAACTCTGGTAGCGTGTTCATTTAACTTTTAGGTATACATAAACGTTCTTTGAAGCTTCGCCATAATAATTATAAATAATGAATCCTTTTGAAAAAAAATACGAATGTGAATTGTTCCAAAAATAATGCGTATATTTTTGTTTTAAATAAACTGGATATTAAATAAACTTCCAAAAGATCACCTGTATGAAGAATTATTGCAGGGAAAGCACCCCAGAGAGAGATCACAGCTGTGATACGAGGATATCTGCAAGTGGGAGCTGAAGGCCTTAGGAATGGACCTCAATAGATAGGAAACCTTGACATCTGAGCATTCAGCCTGGAGGCAGGTGGCGCATCATGGCCTCTCTCATTTTGAAGAGACACTTGTTCAGCAGGCCAAGGCAAAGAGGCAGTCCCAAAACCAGCAAAATCAGGGAGCTGGACAGGGGACAAATTGTATTTGTCTCCAGTGGAAGGGATTGTCACTCTCAAATTAGCCTCCTCAAACCACACTAGAAGCTGTTTCAAGACCTCTATTCAGAGCATGTTACCATGCTCTGAACTCTTGAGACTGTTACTTCAGTTACTCTCGAGACTGAAGGACGTTTACACAACTGCATTGAGATTAAATTAGGTGTGCTTTAGTCCTATTGAACCAATGGAACTTTTAAAAAACCTATTAATTTAAATGAGGCTGAAATATTATTACCTTAGGTTGAATCCAACTTTTTATTTTTATTTTTATATAAACTAGACTGCAGAGGACTATGAGCAACAATGAGTGAGATGCAGCCATTTTCCAGGGGTAATCATAAACAGCCAGAAGGTATTTCTTCCTCTTCTACTTTCTCCTTCTCCTCATGGTGTGTGTGTGAGTGTGTGTGTGTAAATACAGTGGACCCTTGACTTACAGACGGCTTGACTTACAGACTTTTTGAGTTACAGACTTCTCTGGCTGCAAAATTTAGGTTTGACTTGCAGACTGAGATTTGACTTACAGACCAGAAAAAAACCAAAATGGAACAAAAATGGCCTGTTACGGGATTAATCGGTTTTCAATGCACTGTAGGTCAATGGAGACTTGACTTACAGACTTTTTGACTTGAGAACCACCTTCCAATACGGATTAAGTTCTCAAGTCAAGACCCCACTGTATATATATATAATATTATTATTGTTTATATTTTAGGACTGTCACCTGCAGCCCTCCATACACCCATCAAATTCATGCACACTTCAGAACAGATCTGAAAAGGGTGATGCATGGGACAAGGACTTATGATTTGGGGGCTTTTGACCCTGTCTATATCATCAGGAGGAAACTTTGACAGAGTATTTTCCTGTGCATATTATTCAATCACAATCCTCCTGCTTTACAAGTAAATATGTTCCCAGTATTCCTAGTTGTAGCTACTAAGACCATATCTGCACTACATAATGTTAGCCACTAAATGTTACTTTAATTGTCCTAGCTCTATCCTGCAGAATCCTGGGGCTTGTAATTTGGAGAATGTTATGCTATAGTTCTGACAAGTGCACTATAACTCTCTAATACAGAATTTGAACTGCCTCACCAGACCAGATCTAAGGATTTTTTCTGATAGAGTCTTATCAAATGGGAATAATAGTGTGATGTTCATAACACAGTATATGGTGATCTGTTCAAAATAATTTTACTTTGGAGCATAAAGCCTAGATCTAAGCAAAGTCAGTCAATCTCTTTTTTGAAGATGCAATTCTCCACTCATCTTCAGATGAGCAGGTGGCTGAAGTAGGAGCCTTTAACCCCCTTAAGTGCAGCAATCCCAGTGCACAAAGGATACTGCCAACCACTGATATTTCCAGGTTTGTTTGGCCTGGTTCCCTCCACAACAACCACCTTTATTTCCAGCCTCTCCCACTAGACAAATCAACTTTTAGCTTGGTCTTTGTATTTAACCCTACTGGTCCTCCCTAATTTGCCTGAAATTTATGCAAGCTGTACTGCATAGTCCATTAGTTGTGGAGAAAGTACATCATTGTCTGATACAGTTATTCTTGAACATGCTGGGCTATTTCATGTATCTACTTTGGGATGGGAAATTGAAGGTAAGGGTCAAACTAGATATGATATGGGTATCCCTTGTATGGAACTGCCTATACGTTTTCATTTGCATTCTTGGAAGGCAGCCTTCAGTGTTTATTTTTAGTCATCTCAAAATGTTTAAGGGGTATATAATATTTTGCCTCATGTAAAGGATCCAGTACAACCTTTATTACAAAATGCTGTTAACAACAGTGGAAAAATGCATATATACGGTACTTAACAGCTTAAGATAGCAATCTTTTACATTCTGAAAGGGATGTGTCTCCCATTGAGTTCATTAGCCTTATTTCTCAGTAGATATATTACACTAAGCAGTGTTGCACAAGGAATAATTTGTCAGCAAATTGGCATGGGGAAAACACACACACACACACACACACACACAGAGAGAGAGAGAGAGAGAGAGAGAGAGAGAGAGAGGTTTTAATCAATATTGTAGCCCCCTTGTGTCCACTTTTTGAGGAGAACAACATTGGAAGCTCTGAGCATAGAGCCTCTGTGTTATATCTAGTTGAAAAATCATAATTTCTGAATATGTAGAGATCAAATTTGTGTCTTCTGTGCATTATTATGTATATTATTTTTTAATCTTTAAAAATTAATTGTCCTAAATTATTTAGGTATAGATGAAAATATTTCATTGGGCATTCCCTCCAGACAGCGTAGTTGTGCTGCTGTAACACATCCATCAGCATGTGTTAACAAAGCTATTCAACACATTCAAGATCTAGAAGTGAAAGTGGAGGAATCCTTTCAACAGGTATTATTTTTAATATATATTTATTGTTTGGGTTATTATGCTGTGCTCTTCAAAGGGGTTTTCCCGGAATGGATTTACAATACAAATACAAATGTTTTATAATAATAAAAACAATAATACAAGTGTAATAATTACAGCTGACAACTGATGACAAACTAGCAGATAAACCCCATTTGCTAGAAGCATTAAAATGCCTGAATAAATGAAAAGGCCTTTGTCTGGTATCCAGCTGCAGCAGAGTAAATGCTAGAGGAGGTTGCATGGCGAGAGTATTCCACTACTGGGGCACTATAGTACTTCCAAGACCATATTATATTTATAACTGTGGAAAGCAAAGGATCTCTAAAGATGACCTCAGTGTATGGGTTATATGGAGTTATATGGAGATAGGAAATCTATTAGGCGCTGTAGTACCAAAGTATGATGGACTTCAAAGATACAGTATGCACCAATACTCCAAACTACAGTATCAGTTGTTGACTGTACCGTAGAGGTACCATAGAATAATGCTTCCAGAGGAAGCATATGTTGTTGAGTTTCTCTGTGCCTTCCTTGTGGAAAAAGAAAATAAACAACCTTAATAAATATATAATTGCCATTGTGGCATAACTGTGTCAACTTTTGTCAGCACACATTTAATGATATGGGCTCTCATCGACAAAAGCTTACTTTGCATTAAAATTATTAATCTCCAGGTTGCCACAAGACTGTCAGCCAAAAGGTGGTTAGGCTGTTCAGAGCTGCTTTTAAGCTACCTTATTAAAATCAATCCGTCCTCTTTTACCCTGTTACATTTCTTTGATTTTTTAAATTTTATATCATTTTTAACTCAGTCAGAGCCATTTATAAATGAGGTTTTTTTAAGGCACTTCCTGCCCTCAGGCAGCCATCAAAAGGATAAAAGGACACACACACACACACACACACACACACACAAAAGAAAACAGCAAGCTTGGACACTGGTTCTTAAAGTCACTAACAGTGTAATCCTAGGTAAACCTTATGTCTAGGTAAGTGTGAATAGAACTGCAGCCTTAATGGATATGAAATGACTAGCTGGAGGGGGTCAGGGGAGTATGGACAGGAGAAATCAAATACTGTATTAGCTAGTTGCTCAGAACCAATGGATTAGCCATGTTTCCCTTCTCTTCCTTTATAATGCTCAGAACCAATGGATTAGCCATGTTTCTCTTCCTTTATAGCATTCATCCAGAATGGCTGCTAGCTGATATTTGTTATTATCATAACATAAAAAAAAGATGTGGGTGCGTGGCTTTTTGCTAAGGTATTGTTCAGCAATCATATTCTAAATCCGCCTTTTAAAAGAATAAACTGTTACAATCCTTTATGCACTTGTTTATGACCGTCTTTAAATGAATCAAATGAGATTTGTTTCTTGTTAAACACACATAAAATTGTCCTGCTAAGTTTCAGTTCTAATAACTGAGTAGTTATTAAGTGGAGTATATATCTGAATAAGCATGCACATGATTTTGCTGCACATCAGTATAAGTGATATATCGTTGTTAATGAGTGACTTAATTTCTTGAATATTGCATGCAGCTTGATAAAACAAAGTCACTCTAGCTGTCAGGATGAAAAGTTGCAGAAGCTGAAAGGGTAATTAAGGCTTGGCAACAAAGGCATACCAGCCCTATCATGATTCCTTTGCTCTTTAATATTTTCTGTTAAAAACTCCGAGTTGTACAGATGAGTGGCTTTTTTTTTAGTTGCTGAAGCAAGCCTTGGAAATCTACTGATCCCATGAATGGTGCTCATTTGTGCTGCTTGGGCAGCCCTCACCACCAGTGTTTGCCCTTGTGCCTGCATGCCTGTAGAAAACCAGGCCTTGGCAACAACCACGATTCCTTTCTGCTACAGAGGTCTTTTACTTTGCTGCCCTGTCCTGTTTCAGGTGGCACACACAGTCTGGTTGGAGATTTTTTGAATGTGTTGTATTGCCTGTTTTTACATATATAATAAAGTTCTTAGATAAAATCCATCCCCTAGCCAGGTGCCCTTATCTGCCTTATCCACATACAAAGATCTCCTTCGGTAGTAAGGAGAGGGAAGTCCTTAGGACTGTGTTGTTTATTCAGTCTCTTAGTCACCAAAGGAAGAAGCGAAAAGTCAGTGGCAGTTACATCTACTGAGTAAATGGGCCACTTTGTCCCCTCATGAAGAGAGGGCCAAGGGAAAAACCTGTACAGACCAATAACAAAGTGAAGCACATTAAATCCAAGATTACATAGTTGAAAAAAGTCTGTCCTGTGATGAACAGACATTTTTCGTCACTTAAGCAAACATCTCATGTAAACATATACTGTATTAAGCTATGATCTAAAGTCACTCTAGGATGTGAAGTTGTGGAAGCTGAAAGAGTAATCGGGGCCTGCCATGAAAATTAGTTCGCAACAGAGTTATTTGCACCAACTGTTCCCCAATAACATTTTTGCTAGGGTGTATGGCAAACATGAATAGTCTGACCCCCCCCCAAGTCATGATGCCCACTTTACTGAATTTTCAACTTTCATTAAAATAATAAAGCAGGTTTCTCACTCTTTCTGAGATAAAATTAGAAATATGGGAGCGATATTGTAATAGGCTGATCAAAAAGAAATGAACTTGCTTATACTTCCAGTTCTCTGACCAATGGCTGTATAAACACTGCAGCGGTTGACAAATATTAGACACATTTTAGTTGTATACAAAACTTTTTAATTTCTCTTAAATATTTAATTAATTAACATGAATGCCTGAGAATCTTCACAGATATACTGGCTATGTTGTTTGGAAGATTTTTGGGAGATGCAATGGCAATAAATGATTTTTTTTCCCAAGCTCTACAGTTTTAGTTTTTCTTTCTGTGGTCCCACACCATTTCAGAAGTGCAGATACTTTTAACCAATTACTAATGTTTCAGATAGTGAACAAGAATAGAAAAATAACGACCATTTCCAGTATTGTGTAGGTGGGTTACTACTTACGCAACAGAACATCTGCTTCACCCTTCTTTCTTCAGTCCATCACACATCTCTTTCTTTGCTGGTGGTAGATTGGAACACAGAGAAAAGTGCACTTGGTTATACAGTGGTGCCTCACTAGACAGTTCCCCCACATGACAGTTTTTTCGCTAGACATTGGCTTTTTGTGATCGCTATAGTGATTCGCAAAACAGTGATTCCTATGGGAGAATTTTGCTGGACAATGTTTCGTCCCGGCTTCGCAAACCAATTTTTGCTAGACAACAATTTTGACAGCTCCCTCCGTGGTCGCAAAATGGGTGTTTTCAGGACCTAAGCTTCGCAAGACAGCTATTTAAACAGCTGATCGGCAGTTTGCAAAGTGGCTTTCCTATGGCTGATCTTCGCTAGACAATGATTCTTCCCCATTGGAACACATTAAACAGGTTTCAATGCATTCCAGTGGGGAAATGCTTTTCGCTAGATGATGATTTCGCTGGAAATGGATTATCATCATCTAGCGAGGCACCACTGTATGTGATCCATAGGCATCCTTCAGTCTTGAGAGACTATGGTAACATGCTGTGTATTGGTAAGTGTCCTCTCCAGAGCATGAAGCCTGTGTAAAGTAGTATGGAGGATAGGCTGTTACCCAAGCAGCAGATCCCCCCTCTCCACCTTGCTGAAATGCTCCAATGGAAAGGCAAGAGCCAATACAACTGGTTCCAGCAAGGGTGCAGGAGCTGGCAGAACAACACTAACTGCCTTTGGGACTCCAGCTCCAGATTTTGCCTCTAGGTTAACTCCTGAGTTTTGGTTTGAATTTGGTGATAGGAACTGCGAATAATGTTCCCATCAAAAGTGCAAACCAGCAGATTCCAGATGAGGCTCTGTGCAAGCACAAGCCTGAGTGAGGCTCTGCCCAGGTCCAAGACCCATGCATGTAAGTTCACAGACCACCAGTTGAAGAACTACAATTACAAGGAAGCAACCTTTACCTCTTCTCCCATGAAATCTTGTATGACTTCAAAAATCTTTTCTAAAAATTCTTTCAAACCTCTAGAGCATATTTTGGTATGAAGGGCATAAAGCAAGCAGAGCAATCAATTAGACACTACTAGCTACATTTTTTCCACTTTGTTAATTTGCCATAGCTTTCTGTAATTAAAATCTTCATTGCAAAGGCTTGCCACATTTGAGAAGTTGATGTATAAAATCTGCAGCATCTTATACATATTCCAAATCTTGCAGTAATTCTGCACTGACTATATTTCAGTTAAAGATAAAAGTAACATTGAGCTGCCCTTTGGTATCCTTTCCTTTAATATGCAATGTATTTTTGACCAAGATAGTTGGTATCAATAACCCATTTGGAATGCTGCATTCTTTCCTGGAGCTTTCAAACCCCCAAAGATGAAACCATCTGATTATCAAAGCTTGCCAGAGATTGCTAAAGCCATCTCATACTTAAATTAACACCTCCACTGTAGATCTCCTAAGTTTAAATGATGGGAAAAAAGATTCTTATTGATGATGTACAGTATTTGCTACTGGATTGCCTTTGTTATGTTTTCTTTAGCTCATTGTCTATCCATGATAAATATCAGCTAAGATTTCTACATTTATTTGTCAGAAGATACTAAATGTGTTAAATTCCACCAGATGAATTTCTTTCTATCTCCTTGCATTGTGAGTCTTTCTCTTTGAAAATTTTATCCCAGGTTAACAGGTTTTTGCATTTGTTTTGTTTTCAAGTATTTATTTATTCTGACAATCACCTTAAAAGAAAGTTCTTCTTCCACATCATTCACATTATTACAAAAAGGATTGTCTGAGTTTGACAGTTCTCTTCTGAATAAATGTCTGAATTGGGATTAGCATGCTCATTCTAGGTGCAAACTGAATAAGAGTGTGGTGGCAGCTGTAAAAATCAGCAGAACATGTTGCCAGGAATTTTACCAGACAGGGCTGGGGGTGTCCAAAGTGTTGCAAGATCATTACAGTAGCAAGCAATTTCTTTTGTTAATGAAGCTCTTTTTTTAAAAAAAGATCTAACCAATTTGAATGCACCTTTGTGGTCGGCATATATGTATTACAATGCTTTTATGTATTCAAAGCATATCCTAAAATATATTGTATATTAATGAAGCCTCTCTCTTCTATTTGCAGTATGATCATTTATATAAGTTAGAGAAAATTTCACGGTAAGAATCTTATGAGTTTCAGATTAGTAATTATGCTAGTCACATTTTTAGCTGCAAAAGCAAGAATGCTGTCAAACTAATCCTATATATGTCTGTTGTAAATCCTACTAAGTTCAGTAGTGCTTATGCACAGATAAATGGTACAAGATTGCCCTCTAAATCTGAAATCTTGTACCCACTTAACTAGGAATAAGCCCACTGAGCTCAGTGGGAGTTACTGCAGAGGAGATATTTATAGGACTATGCTGTAAATATATGTAACATATTTTTCTTCTATGTAGAACAGAAGTCTGATCTCTCTATTTAAAAATATCATACAATAAGTTTGAGATCAGAAATTCTAAGCAAGAAAACCAAGAAAAGTGCAAGACGAATTGCCACTTTCCCCTTGATAGTATTCATAATGATTTGGGACTAATGGCAGAAAAGAATGGAGCAAAGTCAGTCCCTTTATAGTGAGAAAACTCTGATGCAAGAGACAGTGATACTGTAACCAAACTGAAGACATTTCTACCCATATCTACCCATCAAATTCAACACAGGAACACATCTACCCCAGATTCTTCATCATATTACTACTGGCTATGTTATTTTGGTTTACAGTATAACATAAATAAAAATGATGTAAAGTTCCTTGTCTGGAAAGAGTCCCAAATTTTGCAGAATAGGAGCAATAATTAGTGACAAACCAATAAATGTATAGCCATCATTTTTTGTTGTTTGAGATGAGAACAAACATTAATGAGTTAATCCAACAAGAGATGGTTACTGAAGATCGATTTTAAGTACCTTACAGATATTGGAAAGAAGCTGCCTATTTAAAATGTCAGCTTATTTTTTCAGAGATACAGATATCAAAAGTGATGGAGAAACTAAAGATACATTACTTTCCGTTTTTTCTGAGCTGAAGGATGAACGTTCATTATATCAGAAAGGTAAATTTATACTCTGTCTGGATGCTATTGGTCAAACTGCTTAATTGGAATTATTTCTGAATAACTGTTTATACTAGGGAAATACAGTAGTTCCCCACATAGCGACGATGATCCGTGCAGCAAAAATCACTGCTATATGGATTTGTCGCTATGCAAAAATAAAAAACCGATAGTAATGCATTAAAACCCATTTAACTCGTTCCTATAGGCAAAAATCTCACCTTTATGCGAAAATCCTCCATACAGCCGCCATTTTCGCTGCCCGGTAAGTGAGGAATCCGGGCGAAAACACAGCGGGCAGCCATTTTGGAACCGCCGATCAGCTGTTGGGAAATCATCGTTATGCGAAAATCGGTAAGCAAAACAGCTTACCGATCATCGCAAAGCGATTTTTTCCCATTAGAAACATTGCAATGTGATCGTAAAAATGATCGCAAAAATCCGTTGCTATGCGGATTTGTCGTTAAACGGGGCGCCCGTTAAGCGAGGCACCACTGTATAGTCAAATTGTTTGAAATGTGTAGTATGCTCCGCTTGCCATTTATAACACAGAAAATAAGCGAGGCACCACTGTATAGTCATTTATAACACAGAAAGTTGGAGGATTTCCATTAAGGAGGGAGGCAAATGGAAACGGTCATTCCTCCAACTGCTGCTGTGTCAGAACAGTCTCTAATTCTGTAGTATAATGACATTTTCTTGATACCATTTCAAAAAAGAGGCCTTATGCATCTTCCCACCAAACTCTTTGTTTGCCATGTCAGTCTTTGTTTGCCCAACTGCTACAATTATTGGTTGAGATGAAGTCTGTGCTTCCCTGACTTGAGGCTCTAACCATGTTGGTAAAAAAAGGTTGGAAATGCTCCAGGATTGGGACAAGATGGTTTTAAAAAAATTCTATTGTCCACATGACATAAAAGGAAATGCAGATCATCCTGGAATTTTCCCCCTCTGTTGCTTCATCTGTTTCTGCTTCTTCTCGTCGTTGTCCTCCTCCTCTTTCTTCTTCATCACCACCACCATCACAACTACTGGATCAATTTGCATGAGTTTAAGCAGTGCGATTGCAGTATGATTGCTTGAACTGGTGCAGAAAACAATCCTTCGCTCTTTACCATTCCCCTCGGGGTGCTATATACTATTCTGCCCCCCCCTTTTATTTTTATTTTCTAAACAGCTTGCTGCTGGCACTGTTGCACAAGAGCACCTGGAGGGAGAGAGAAAGACACAGAGAACAAGAATATGAAACCAGAGGAAGAAACTCATCACAATGAACTGGATTTAGGATCAAAAAGTTGCTTTGTTATGTGCTGTCAAATCACTGCTGACCAATGACAATTCAAATAGGGTTTAAAGGTTTGGGAAATGTTTTACCAATACCTCTTCCCAGATGACTGTCCATGGTCAAGTGAGGTTTTGAATCCTTATCTCTAGGCCTATTCTTAAGGGATATTGATAAATTGCTAGTAGTAGCCGCCACTGCTGCCATGAACATATTGCTCAGAATGAGACAGGTCCTTGCTTTGGCAGTGAAAGAGGGCTTGAGAAGGAACATTTCCTGCTTTGAATTGTAAAAGGTAGGGGTGATGCATCAACGTGTCGTCCCTCTCCTTTTTAATCCCGCTCTTCACAATACTTTGCAAGTCTTTTAAAACCCATTTCCTCCTCCCAATGCTGTCCAAAAGGGAAAAGAAAAATGAAAGCCAAGAACTGAGAAGGAGAGATGTGCAGGGAAATAAAGGGATTAATAAGTAAAGGAGGGAAGGGAAAAGGGGAGGAGGAGAGAAGGCTCATACCACTCGGCTGCTAGATCACTTTTGTAATGTTTTTTTAAAAAGACAAGCCCCCCCTCAAAAACAGTAGAGAAAGTGGATCAATACAACATTAAACAACAGTGTAGTCTGCTGTAAGAGTTCAGATAAAAAGAAATGTAGTGATGCTGTTCAAAACAATGTAAATGCTCCCGCCATATATATACTACGTGACAGCTGGAAAAATGTATCAATTCAACAGAGGGATGAAAAGAATGGGAATAACTGAGGTTATTTTCTCACATGTGATTGAACTCTAAGATACCGGCTTTTGGGGAGCCATTTTTGTGTTTTTGCAATACAACAGTGCATACCCATGAGATGTTTATTTAGAAATACATTTTGTGATTTTGTTTATCAAATCTAGCACTATTTGTGTGATGTGCTAACAACTCATTAAAAGTGAATCACAAGTTATGCACTGTAAAAAGCTGAATCTGTAATGTGAAATATTACTACACAAATTTCTTCTCCCCCCCTCCCTTTTTTAAATCATTTCTGAAGACATCCAGCCTTTAAAGCAAAAGACAACAAGTGTTCTGGCAGAGGTCACAGAGTTAGTTGCAAGATTAGAAAATGAACGTCAAGAGGCTGAAGAAGCTTTGGAATTTGAGAAACGACGTAGGAAAAAACTGTATGGACATGCTGATTACTTGTCACTCTGGAGGCTGAAACAGCTTCCCATAGCTGTTCAAAAAGGTGTGAAAATTAAGCATTAAAAATGAAAAAAATTAATAGACATTTTTATGAACTATGTTAGATCTGGCAAAAACTGGTGATTTCCTATTTAGACATACTAATCTTTTGGAAGCTTATTATTACTTTCAGAATAGTGTACTATGATGACATTTAAACTGGCTATTTAAAATAATTGTGATAATTTTTATATTGATCAAACAGATAAGGCTTGCCTGCCACACTAAAGAAATCAAGATTCAGGCATGGTATTCTAATTTCTAAATGCAGTTTGCATTTATTTTTGAAAAAAAAGTTTATACTGTACATGGGCATTATACATATAGTTATTTGTTTATAAATAAATAAATAAAAGAGGCTGAAGGGCTAATGTACAGAACAAATGAATGTTGTCCACATTCACTGAGACTTGTGGAATTAATTAGTCTGTGTAGAAGGAATGTACACATCACAATTATTATTTGGTCTTGGGAAATGTGCATATCTTGATATTCCATATATTCTTTACATTTTTTGGACATTATGCATAGCTTCAAATAGGCTTTGGTAAATCTGCATTTTATTGGAGACTGTGCATACTGACTGGATAATATCCACCATTCTGCAATATGTACAACATTCTTTTGTCCTGGAGTTTATGCATATGATTTGGAGAATGTGCAAACCCCAGCTGGGATAGCCACATTCCCAAAACCCTGTTTAAGATTTTGCACATTCCTTAAGGTTTATTTGAGCTTATGCACAATTTTCCCAGGGCCTCTTCAAGATTATATGTGTAGCTTGGATAATGTAAAAAGCATTTTAATATGCATATTCTATGATCCTGCGGGATATTACATACAATCCATGGAGAATGCACAGAATGCTGCTGACGTGTGCATTCCACGAAATCTGTTGAACATTATGCATGTTGTCTATAGAATGAAAACAAATCTACCTTCTGAGATATACATATTCTCCAAGACCTATTAGAGAGAATTTATACTGCCTGGGCAATGTTTTGTGTCACACTTTTATTATTTTGCTTGTTTGCTGGTGCCTATCTTTTGCTGGCAGTTCTTGGGAAGTTTATTGTGAGTTTTAGTCTGACACATTTGTTGAAGTCCCTTTGGCATTTGTGGAAGGTTTGCATTACTTGCCTTGGCTGACTGCAGCTAATTGACAAGGTGGCAGGTCTCATCTCTTTTGTATACTGTAATTGGGTGCATGACCAGACATGTTATTGAGACACACTTGAGCACCTTGTCATTTGGCTGTATCACATTATACAAACTTTACTGTATATGAACACCAGGATTTTGGCCAGTCTCTGGAAAGAATTAAAGCCCAGCTCTTTGGCCTTTGATAGATCAGAGGTGTCTTCCCGCAGCAGTGTTCCCAGTGCTAGCAAGTGGTACCTTTTGCATCCATCCTATCATAAACTATCACAAAAAGGAGTTGGTTATATAACACAAAAGCAGCAGTTCTGTTGTCTTACCTTACTGTTCACAGAACCTTTGATACTGAGTTATTTTCAAATAGAGTATCACACGCTTCTTCAGTAAGATGGACAGTCCTCTTCACAGCTGGATAGCCACAGCGACTGGTGAATGCACAGAAATTCTGTGAAAGAATGTTTCATAAGAAACTGTATGAACAAATGGCAGTGTATTACCTTCAATGTAGAATTCATAGTTTTGTTATACTGTATAGCTTTTTTTTCACCTACAGAGTGGGAAAAGTGTTCTCGAGATATTGAAGAATTACAATGGCATTTTGAAGAAAAAAATCAGCAGCTACAGGATGCAGTAAACAAACTGATGAAAATAGACATAGCTAATGCAAAGATTGTGGAACATATAAACTTTATGAAGACATACAGCCCTCTACTGGGAGAAAAGTTGAGTTATGAAGGTGGTTGTATAGAAGAAGTTAAAAAGATATACAGAGAGGTAAACAAATTAAACGAGTTTGTTATTTTTCTCCATTGACTTGTAAAGGCTCAAAAACACAATGTCTGAGAATTTTCTATTTTAAAATGGAAAAGAAATGTACGGGTAGAACACAGCACAAACTAGTAGGATTAGCTATAAAATAGAGACAGGTTTATTATAAAAAGTATTTCACAGATAAGGCCAAACTCTTCAGTAGCCAGAATTTATGCTGCAACTCTATGCACATTTACTTGGCAGAATGTCCAAGTGAAAGTAGATACGATTTAGTTGCATGTAAAGTGCAAAGATACAGAGGAAAATAATAGAAGGTGGAAAACCAGAGATCAGTTCAAGAAAATTGGAGATGTTAAAGGAACCTTTTCAGCAAAGATGGACATGATAAAGGACAAAAATGGTAGGGACCTCACAGAAGCAGAAGACATCAAGAGGAGGTGGCAAGAATACACAGAGGAATTATACC